CTTTTAGATTAGTTTATTGACAATTTTAAAGTAATTTAAAACCCAATAAATTTATTAGGCCTATAGACTTTGGACATTAACTGAACATATTTGAACATTAACTGGCTACCCAAGTAAAATCATTAGGGTGCTTTAAATCACTGTTATTTGCTGTGTCAGGCTATTGATTTGCGGTCTGTTAGTTTGTTATACATATTTTATCAGTGAAATACAGGGACTACATTTAAAGAGAACACCCCTACATCCAACTAATATTATACTGCATTAAAATGAACTATATGTACACAAATGCCTGTTTTCAATTTCATACAGAAACACTTGTCTAGATAAGCTACACACATGCACATACTAGTACTACTACTGTCATTCTTGCATTTTTTATATAGCTAATATGATATGATAAATGAAACAAATAGTTGATTGTGGTGTGAACTGATAAGGTTTTAAATAGTTTTTCTAAAATAGCCAAGATCGAAATTATATGAGCTTAGTGTTTTTTGCAATTTAGGAAGTTATGTTTTAAAGGGACACTATAGTCACCTGAACAACTTTAGCTTAATGAAGCAGTTTTGGTGTAAAGAACATGCCCCTGCAGCCTCACTGCTCAATTCTCTACCATTTAGGAGTTAAATCCCTTTGTTTATGAACCCTAGTCACACCTCCCTGCATGTGACTTGCACAGCCTTCCATAAACACTTCCTGTAAAGAGAGCCCTATTTAGGCTTTCTTTATTGCAAGTTCTGTTTAATTAAGATTTTCTTATCCCCTGCTATGTTAATAGCTTGCTAGATCCTGCAAGAGCCTCCTGTATGTGATTAAAGGTCAATTTAGAGATTGAGATACAATTATTTAAGGTAAATTACATTTGTTTGAAAGTGAAACCAGTTTTTTTTTCATGCAGGCTCTGTCAATCATAGCCAGGGGAAGTGTGGCTAGGGCTGCATAAACAGAAACAAAGTGATTTAACTCCTAAATGACAGTGAATTGAGCAGTGAAATTGCAGGGGAATGATCTATACACTAAAACTGCTTTATTTAGCTAAAGTAATTTAGGTGACTATAGTGTTCCTTTAATTCTTACTGATTCATAGTTTGGTGAACAGACCAATACAACTAAATTAATTGTAACATTGTTTTTAGCAGACTGTAACTCCAATCCCCACCACAAACTCTCCCTTTTCCCAATCCACTCCTTTGATCTCTCTTTGTAGCTCTCAAGGATATTCCTGTCTTTAATAAAATTTAGATTATTCGGTCACTACGAGTTAGAATAATCCCGAATTTTATGGCAAGACAGGAGGCTTCATATTTGCAATTTTAACGCAAAGATAGCATGGACAGAGAAACGTGTGGAGAATGTCTAAAATAAAAAGTACGGAAGGTGGATTCTCTAGACCAATCAGCAGAGGATAGAATCTCCGCTAAGGAACCTCCAGCTATGAGTGCAGAGGAGGCGGCTGCGCCTCTAACCGAGTGAGCTCCGAAAGACGCATCAATGCCAGCCAGGGCTAGTAGCCATTTAATCCAACGTGCAATGGTAGGGCACGAGACTGGTTTGTGAGGTCGCACATAAGATACCAGGAGGGGCCCAGTAGGTGTTCTGAGAGGGGTAGTGCGAGCGATATAGTGTCTTATACACCGGGCTACGCAGAGGAGGGGTTTCTCCGAGAAATAGGGGTAGCTCACAGTAGATGAGTTGATCTTGGTGCGTCTAGTGATATGAAAGTGTACCCCTTCCGGTGTGAAATCGATGGCATGAAAGTCAAAAGCCCTGATGTCGGAAACTCTTCGGAAGGAGACCAAGCAAAGGAGGAGAGCTAATTAGCCTGACAGTTGGTGTAGGGAGAGCGCCTCGTTGACCGGCCAAGCTTCTAAGAACGTGAGCATGATGGCCACGTCCCAGAATTGATTATATTTGGGAGTCGGGGGTCTAGTGATGCGGATGCCCCGCAAGAGTCTACAGACAGAAGGGTGTTTGCCTACTGAAGAACTTTCGATAGGAACGTGCGCTGCAGAAATAGCAGACCGAAATACGCTAATAGTCCGGTAGGATTTACCCTGGTCGAACAGAGACGACAGGAAATTGATAAAATTATAGATGTTGAAAAGGGATCAAGGTTCCTTTCCAAGCACCAGCAACTCCAGAGACGCCATGCAGAGATGTAAGAGCATCTGGTTCCCGGGGCCCATGAATCCCAAAGGAGTCCCTGAGCAGTTGTCGAAAGGCCTGAGACATTCCAAGATCCCCTGAAACAGTCCAAGCCACTAGTTGGAGATGATCCTGGATTGCCAATGGGTGAAAGTTGCCTGTCGGGTCTCTGAGGAGATCGCAGGCGGTGGGTAGCAGCAGGGGGAAGTCCACTGACATTTCCAGGAGGTAAGGGTACCATGGTTGGGCCCGCCATAGCGGGGTCACTAGTGTTATCTTGACACCTTGAGTTTTGAGGTGCTGTAGTGTGCGTAGAATCATGGAGAATGGAGGGAACGCATATGCCCCGGACATCGGCCACGTCTGTAAGAAGGCATCGACTGCAAGGCACGCTGGGTCCGGCAACCAGCTGTAAAATGCGTCCGTCTTCCTGTTGAGGCGAGATGCAAAGAGGTCCAGGTTGAATGGCTCCCGGCAGATCTGGAGACGGTGAAATATCTGTGGATTCAGTTGCCAATCGTTGGAGTCCCTCCAATGTTGGGAGAACCAGTCTGCGACGAAGTTGTCTGATCCCGGTAGATATTCCGCTCGCAGGCAGATATTCCTGTCTAGGCAGAACTGATATAATTCTTTGGTCAGGTCTGAGTGCATCTTCGATTTGGAACCTCCTAGATGATTCACGTAACGAACTGCTGACACGTTGTCCATCTTCAGCACCACGGAACAATTGTAGACATCCTTGGAGAAACTGCGGATTGCGAAGGAGCCTGCAATCAGTTCAAGTCAGTTGATATGAAGTGTGCGTTCCGAGTGGGACCAGAGTCCTCCTGTAGAGCTTTCCGAGCAAGTTGCGCCCCATCCGAGCAGACTTGCATCCGATTCCAGGATGAAGTTGGGTTGGGATCCGAAAATGGCTCTTCCATTCCAAGCGTCCATATGATGTAGCCACCAATGGAGTTCGAGCCGGACTTCGTCTGTGAGTGTGATCTGTTGTTCGTAGGACATCGACTGATGTAAATATTGGGTCTTCAGGCGTTGCAATGCCCGGTAGGGAATATAGCCTGTATTGAGGCGGAGAGCAAGCCGATGGTGCGGGCTAGATCTCGCAGGCGGAGGTGTGGTGATATCAGTAACCTCCGAATGTCTTTTTTTATGGATTTGATTTTGGATGCCGGAAGTTGAAGGACTGCTTGAACAGAGTCTATCTGGAATCCCAGGAATTGTATCGTCTGGGACGGTGTTAGTGATGATTTCTGGTGATTGATCACGAAGCCAAGATTTTGCAACAGGGCGGAGGTCATGCTTGTATGAAGGTGGAGAGTTTCTTGGTCCTGTGCCATGAGGAGGATATCGTCCAGATAAATTATGGAGCGGATTCCTTGGGAGCGCAGTAAGGCCATCACTGGTTTCATTAGTTTGGTGAAGCACCAGGGTGCAGAAGATAGGCCGAAGGGGAGGCAGGTGAACTGCCATAGTGCTTGTTCCCAACGAAACTAAAGGAGGCAGCGGTGTGCTGGTGTTACCAGCACCGTGAGGTATGCATCCTTTAGATCGAGGCGGGAGAACCAATCTCCCTCGGAGAGTAGGTCTCTCAATAAATGTATCCCCTCCATTTTGAAGTGACGGTATGTGATGAACCTGTTCAGATCTCTCAGATTGATGACAGGTCGTAGACCTCCTGATTTTTTTTCTTGACTAGAAACATGTTGCTTATGAAGATCTGTGGGCCAACAAATCTTTCGATCGCACCTTTGGTGAATAGATCGTCGAGTTCGCTCTGTAGAGTCGACTCGTCTAACAGTGACATTTTGATTGGGGTAGGAGGAGAATTTTGTATTGGTTCGTCTGAAAAGTCCAGGTGGAACCCGGACACCGTCTGAAGGATCCAAGGATCCTGAGTGAGTTAAGACCACTGTTGGGAAAAAAGGGTTAACTGGCTTGCAATAGGAATATGAGAATAAGGAAGGTCCATTACCTGTAGCAGTGCGACCGCGGAAAAATTGCCTGTGGTGGAATCGGGTATTGCCCGAGTTCCAGGTGTCCGAAGGTTGAGGCCTGTAGCCCGTGAAGGCGGCTCTGCCAGTCGCTCGGCCTCTATAGTGACCAGCTCTCCCAGAAAAACGCTGAGTGCGAAACACCTTGCGAATGGAGGATTGTGCTTTTGTCAGCGTAGTAAATACAGAGACGTGTTTACTTAGTTCTTTTATGAACTTGTCTCCAAATAACATGCCTTGAGCCTCTGGACCAAGTTCTTTAGTGCCTAATTCGGCAAGCTTGGCATCAATTTTATAAAGGACGGCCTTCCGCCGTTCAGTTGATATTGCCACATTGGCATTGCCTAAAAGGAATAACGCCCTTTGTGCCCACTCTCGCACCATATGTGCGTCAAGTGTGCCACCTGATAAAGCCTCGTCTGCTATAATGAAGATTTGTATAAGCGGGCCCGCCACATCCATCAACTTATCTTGAGTGGCTTTCAGACCCTGTTCTAGACCCTTACGGGGGTCTTTACCCGACTTGGTCAGAAAGGTAACAAGGAAGGGGTCGAATTCAGGTGTATTGGCCACCTTGTCTGGGATAGTGGGGCGTGGGCATTTTGCCCTCAATTTGGCTCTCACCTGTTTTTCTAAAGGCCGACGGAGCCACATTCTACAGTATTTGGCAATGTGGTCCGGGGGTGTCCTTTCGGCAGATCTAGGGTGCCTGATGCATCTGGGGTCGAATAAAGGGCGGCCAGAGGTGTCAAATAAGGTATCCTCTGTTAAGTTAGGGTTTTTAGAGACGAGATCAGACTCCAAGTGGAATTCCTCTAAAGGTATGAGGGAGGGTTCGTTAATTGCAGAATCAGAAGGTTAAAGGTCTCGGGATGTCTTATGAGGTGGAGCATCGTTATCCGAGTGTTCTGCGTAGTATTCGTCTACCACTTGGAGATTATAATTAGAGGTTGAAACCTCAAATGGGGCAAAATCATTTTGGGAAATGGCCTGCCTGGGTTTAGAATAGGGAACTTTAGGGTGTTTGGCAGGCGCTTTGCCTTTAACGGCGGTAGCGCTATCGCCCTTCCAAGGGCGTTTGCGATGGGCTTCATCACGTTCTGAACCATGAGAATCCTCAGAGTCTGAGAGTTGGGTAATGGTTGCCGTAGGGGCAGGGACTGTCTGTTCGCGGAAGGCCGCTAAAGCTTTGGGTATGGACTCAGTAATGGCATTGAATAGCCAAGCCTTAAGTTCAGCAGAAACTGCTGGTTCTGGCAAATCCGACATAATGTCAGTAACAGTGGGGTCACCACAATAGTAAATAATTTATTTATATTTACAATATATATATATATATATAAAAAAAATTATTATTTTTTTTTTTTGTAAATGCAGACAAACTAATTACAATGAGGCGGTGGACTTATGCATGTGTGTAAAATGCAGGAGAACAATTAACCTGTAAAGTGGAGTTCGTCCACAGTTTATCAGTGGGGTTCACCCAGAGAGAAAGGACAATATAATGTCCAAGGTCAAGTAACAGGTATGTACCTGTGTTATCATAGGGGTTACCCTGTATAGAGGCAGCAAAAGGGGGTCACCCTTACAGAAGATGTTAGAGGGGGTCACCCTCAGAATAAAGACTAGAGGGGGTCACCCTCAAAATCAAGCAAGGGTTTTGAGTAAACTTGGGATCTGTGAAAGAAAAAGTGGATATTTTTAATATGGATATATATTTTTAATTAAACTAATTGTTCTGGGGCTTTAAGAAGTAAAAATATACTTACCAAACGGCTAGGTCGCGTTTGCAGTGAAGAGCCGAAACGCAAGTAAACCGCTGCGCATAGAGACTACCGCAAGATGGGGCTGAGAGAAAAAGCCCGGGAAAGTACATAGAAATGGCCGCGGCTTAAAGGAAGGGCGGAACGCGTCTCTATGGAGACGCCAGGGCAATGCAAATTGTGTATGGGGAAGCTGAGCAAACCGGCAAAATGCCGGGCGCCGCGGTGAAAGTGTCAGCCTAGGATTTAAACTGACAGTAGATATGTAATTAAATAGAAGAGTTAGTAGAATTAGTGTGAGGTAAACTGGTTTGTGGGCTGACTAGAATGTCAGCCCATGTAACATAAGTTAGTAAAAGCAAAATTACATATAAATAGAATAGAAAAGACAGTGAAACAGTATGAAATAAATTTAAATGGTATAAAGTAGATAAGAGTCAGCTAAAATAGAGAATTAATAGGAGTATAATTAGAATAGACTCACCTGGGAGGCTAAGCAGCAAAGAAAGAGGAATTGGGAGGAGCCTGATGGCAGTTTATATTACTGTGATGCATACTGATTGGTTAAACTTTTTTACACTGCTGTTAACTGTTTCTTTGCTGCTGGGAGTTACAGTAAAGACAGAGAAGCAAATATGAAGCCTCCCGTCTTGCCATAAAATTATGATGGGCCTAATTATAGAATCTTATCGACCAAAAACACTAAAACAGTCATACCTCTCAAGCGTCATGTATCTGATGGAGTTGGTGTTGGAGGGAAACTCACAGGATGCAGCTATAAGAAAACACATACTCTATGCTAATTTCTTTATCTAATTTATGCTTTCATCTTTCACCCCCTAACAGCAGTGTCCAGTGAAGCAGAAAGTCAATGAAGGGGCATGTCTGTCCAATGAATTGGAAGGCCAGCCTGACATCAGTGTCCCTATGTATCACAGTGTCAGTGTCCCCATGTCGCCCAGTCCCCTAGTCTCCCAGTGTCTGTGTCCCTATTTCTCCCAGTGTCCCAATGTGAATGTGACATGGAAAGACTGAGAGACCCAAGAACACTGAGACACTTGGGGACACTGGGAGACATGGGGACACAGACACTAGGGACACAGAGACATGGGGACAAAGACATTTGGGGAAACTAAGACACTAGGGACACTGAGAGACATGGGACAGAGACACTGGGAGACTAGGGGACACTGGGAGACATGGGGCCACTGAGACACTAGGGACACTGGCTGGGAGACATGGGGTACTGGGAGACATGGAGACACTGTGTCCCTAGTGTCTCCATGTCCCAATGTGTCTACCTATATCTCAGTGTCCCCATGTCTCACAGTGTCCCCTGGTGTCCCAGTGTCCCCAAGTATCAGAGTGTCCCCAGGGTGGTGCAGTAGACATTGTTACCTAGATTTTAGTAAGGCTTTTGACACTGTTGCACATAGAAGGCTTATCAATAAACTGCAATCTTGAAGTTTGGATTCCAATATTGTTGAATGGGTAAGGCAGTGGCTAAGTGACAGGCAACAGAGGGTTGGAGTCAATGGAGTATATTCAAAGCTTGGACTTGTCACCAGTGGGGTACCTCAGGGATCTCTACTTGGACCCATTCTCTTTAATATTTTTATTAGTGATATTGCAGAAGGTCTTGATGGTAAGGTATGTCTTTTTGCTGATAATACTAAGATATGTAACAGAGTTGATGTTCCAGGAGGGATAAGCCAAATGGCAAATGATTTAGGTAAACTAGAAAAATGGTCAGTTGTGGCAACTGACATTTAATGTGAATAAGTGCAAGATAATGCAGAGTACAGAATATTTGATAGAGTCCTAACCTCAACATCTGAGGAAAGGGATTTGGGGTGATTAGTTCTGATGACTTAAAGGTAGGCAGACAATGTAATAGAGCATCAGGAAATGCTAGCAGAATGCTTGGTTGTATAGGGAGAGGTATTAGCAGTAGAAAGAGGGCTCATACCATTGTACAGAACACTGGTGAGACCTCACTTGGGGTATTGTACACAGTACTGGAGACCGTATCTCCAGAAGGATATTGATACTTTAGAGAGAGTTCAGAGAAGGGCTACTAAACTGGTTCATGGATTGCGGGATAAATCTTACCAGGAAAGGTTAAAGGATCTTAACATGTATAGCTTGGAGGAAAGACGAGACAGGGGGGATATGACAGAAACATTTAAATACATAAAGGAAATCAACACAGTAAAGGAGGAGACTATATTTAAAAGAAGAAAAACTACCACAACAAGAGGACATGGTCTTAAATTAGAGGGACAAAAGGTTTAAAAATATCAGGAAGTATTACTTTACTGAGAGGGTAGTGGATGCATGGAATAACCTTCCACCTGAAGTGGTAGAGGTTAACACAGTAAAGGAGTTTAAGCATGCGTGGGATAGGCATAAGGCTATCTTAACTATAAGATAAGGCCAGGGACTAATGAAAGTATTTAGAAAATTTGGCAGACTAGATGGGCCGAATGGTTCTTATCTTCCATCACATTCTATGTTTCTATGTCTCCTAGTGTCTCAGTGTTCCCCTGCTGCCTTTACCCCCTCCTTCACATACCTGAGCTGTAGTCTGTCTCTGCAGATTGGGAGCTGCTGTCTGGATTCTTAAAATACCAGTCAGGTGGCAAACCTAAGAGTAGTGTGTAAAGAAAAATAAAAAAATAAATAAAGTGGGGTTTTTTTGTTTTTTTTAAATGGGCCTATTCCATAGGCCTGGGCCTGTGCCTGGAGCTGCAGCTCCATCAGCCCCTATGTTAATCCGGCCCTGCCTCTCAGGTGATGTTTTTCTAAACTAAATAGGTTTAAATTTGTTAACCTTTCTTCATGGCTGATATATTCCATTCCTTTTATTAATTTTGTAGCCTGCCTCTGCACTTTTTCTAGTTCCATAATATCCTTCTTTAGAATAGGTGCCCAAAATTGCACAGCATATTCAATATGTGGTCTTACCAGTGATTTATAAAGAGGCACAATTATATTCTCGTCTCGAGAATTAATGCCCTTTTTCATGCATGACAATACCTTACTGGCCTTGGCCACTGCTGATTGAAATTGCACATTGTTGCATAGTTTGTTGTCTATAACAATTCCCAAGTCCTTTTCATGTGTTGTTATCCCTAATTCACTTCCATTAAGGGTATACATTGCTTGTGTATTCTTTACGCCGAAGTGCATAACTTTGCATTTTTCAACATTAAATTTCATCTGCCATTTGAGTGTCCAGTCCTCCAGTCTATCTAAATCCCTCTGCAGAAAAGTTATATCTTGCTCACATTGTATTATTTTGCAGAGTTTTGTGTCATCTGTAAACACTGAAACATGACTTTCAATGCTTTCTTCAAGATCATTTATAAACATGTTAAATAGAAGGGGTCCCAGAACAGACCCTTGAGGGACACCACTTGACACGTCTGTCCAGCTTGAAAATGTACCATCAACGACAACTCTTTGTACTCTGTTTTTAAGCCAATGTTCTATCCAAGAACAAGCATTTTCATCTAAAACCGATTTCCTTGAGTTTGAACACTAATCTATTGTTTGGAACTGTATCAAATGCCTTGGCAAAATCCAAATAGATACATCCACTGCAACACCCTGATCTATACTTCTACTTACTTCTTTGTAGAACGCAATCAAGTTAGTTTGACATGACCTGTGCTTCATAAAACCATGCTGATTTTTGCTGATAACCATGTTCTTCTCAAGGAATTCTTGAATATTATTCCTTAATAACCTTTTTAAAATATTTTCCCAGCCACAGAAGTTAAGCTCACAGGTCTATAATTTCCAGGCAAGGATTTTGAACCCCTTTTGAATATAGGAACCACATCTGCCTTCCTCCAATCCTCAAACACTTCCTGAAAGAAAAGAATCTTGAAAGATTAAAAACAGAGGTTTACTTATTTCTACACTTAGTTCCTTAAGTACTCGTGGATGGATACCGTCAGACCTTGAGCTTTGTTTATATTAACTTTCTTTAGTTGCTGCAGCACCTTGTCTTGAGTTAACTAATTACAATTATTCTGCAAGTTTTTAGTAGCAATCATTTGCACATCTATTACCATGGGTTCTTCCTTAATATATACAGAGGAGAAATAGTTATTTAAAGTTCCTGCCTTTTCCTGGTCTTCATTAACTAACACCCCCGTTTCAGTTTTTAGTGTACCTACACTTTCATTTTTTGTTTTTGCGACCCGGTATGTACCCAGCCTCTTCTTCTGGGGGGCCCAGGAGCCGGCCACCTCAGGGCCCCCCGAGGCTGGCCCTGGTGTCACCCAGCGGGCGTGCGAGGGAGCACTCTCCCCTGAGTGCTCCCTCTTCAGCTCCCTCGCGCACCGCATTGATACCGGAATATGACGTCATCTTCCGCCCCCGGCATCAGTATGTGGCGCGCGAGGGAGCTGAACAGGAAGCACTCAGGTGAGAGTGCTCTCTTGCGCGCCCGCCAGCCTGCCCGCCGGGTGATACCACTGGACCCCAGGGAATCCC